CCCCTCAGTCTCCTCTGCTCCCAGCTCAAGAGCCCCAGCTCCCTCAGCCGCTCCTCAGCAGGAGATGCTCCATCTCTTCCACCACCAGGTGGGTTTGAAGCTGCAGTGAGGTTTCCAGCCTGGTTTGGGTCCATCTCCAGGCTGGTGGAGCATATGAAGCCATGGTGGTGCCTCAGCATGGGCTGAGGGCTTGAGCCCTTTGGGCAGAGCCTGACCCGCGGCTGTGTCCGAGCGGACCCACAGCCTGCTGCTATCAAGAGCCACAGAGCCATGGCAGTGGTTACAAAGATTTATTTCTGATTATAAAAAAAACCCCAAAACAACCAAACAACCCCAAAACAACCAAACAACCCCAAATCTTCTGCACGTGGGCTTGTCCCTGTTTGGAAATGAAGGCGCATCCTCCCTCTTGCCTGGCACGGGGCGATGCAGGCCCAAATCCTACGTGACACAGAGCTTCCCTCTGCAGCGAGCCCCTCACCTCCGCGCTGGCGTGGCCACGCAGCAGGGAGCTACGGGGGCTTCTTGGGCCACTGCTGCGGGGCCGGAGGAGGCTGTGGTGAAGGTGAGACTGGCTTAGGAAGGCACTGTCTGGTTGCTGAAGGGGGACCTTGCTGCCCACTTCTGGCTCTTGCTAAGCCTGTGCTGAGGCCGGTGGAAACCCAGGCCGAGATCTGGCCCTCAGAAGGGTCAGTGGGGTTTGTGCATTGGCCAGAAGGACAGCGTGGGCTCTGGGTGATGCTCAGAGCATCCCAGGAGGCAGGGCTGACGCTCCAGGGACAGGCTAGCGAGGTCGGCTATAAGGATGAGCATAAGCAATATTCCCCCCCAACCCTGTGCACGAGAATAAATCCTGCTGTTGTCTGGACTCAGCCCAGCCCAGGTCTGGCAGCAGAAAGATGCCCCAGGTTTGAACAACCCAAATCCTGAGCCTGCTGTGGGGTCCGTCCCTGAGTAGCACTGGGAAACCCTTAAGCCATCCTCCTGCAGGGCCAGCGGTCCTCTTCTGTCCCCTCCTTTCTGCGGCTTGAGAGCAAGGGGAGGGCAAAAAGGGACAGCTTTCTTTCTGGGACAGGCACTGGAGGACATCGCCGAGCACTTGCTGTGTCCCAAGTGTTGAGGCCATGGAGATGCCAGCAGGATGGGTGACGCTGGGTCCTGCAGACCAGTCCCACGCTGTCCCTGCCATCAGATCGTGAGGGACTTGCTGCGCCGGAGCAGGCAGACGGCAGTCACCAGAGACGTCAGGGTGGTCAGCACGAAGAGCAGGATGAGGATGACCCAGTAGTTGTACAGCATGCTTTTGTGGGAGGAGGGCTTCTCTGGAGGGATCATGTTGGTGAGGTTCAGCATGTAGCCCAGGGCCCAGCCGATGGAGGTTTCTCCTGCCTGTGGAAACAGCGTGGCGTGGTCACCACCACACTCATCCCAGCTCCTCGAGACACCTTCCAGGGACCACCTCACCCAACAGAGGGGTGCACAGCACCGGTAGGTACAGCCCGCCCAGCGGTGACCACCCTGTGCTGAGCTGGGCTCACCCCATAGGAGCAGCATCCTGACTGCTCAAGGCCAGTCCTGATCTCGCTGCCCATCCCAAAGCTCGGGACTTGGCACAGGGGGCATCATACCCTGAGATCACCTCGCAACAAATGATTGCAAGGAGTTGTTGGAGATAAGTGGTGTCTCGAGGGACAAGGAAGGACTGGGAGACTTTGAAATTCCTGACCCCATCACCACCCTGCAGCTCAGCTCAGTTTTTCCCATCTCCCAGAAGATCCATCCAAAATCTGGATGTCTCATCCTGCCCCCGTTCCCTGAGATCTTCCCTCCCATTGCTTGGCTCTTTCTTGGTGTGGGGTCATCTCTCCTGCAGGGCTTCATATGGATACCATGGGGTGGGTACGTGCTGTGGCGTGACTCACCTTCTTCTGGAAGGCGATGTTGGGGAAGGAGTGGTTGTTGAAGTTGTAGCCTTTGGTGGTGAGCAGGTAAACGAAGATGCTGACAGCGCAGTAGTCCGGCAGCCTCTTCTCCAGCTTAGGGGCTTTCTGGAGCAGCTGGGTGGGATGCATGGAGGGACAGAGAGAAGAGGTTAACCCAGTAGGGTCCAGGCTTTGTTTCTGTGGCCTGAAGCTCTGGGTGGTTGCATTTGGCTGGCCAAGGCACTGCCCATACCCACCCAAACCTTTCCTGGTCCCATGTAGGAGCCGTCACCCACCCTCCCCATACTCCATGGGTGCAAGGACCCAGCCCCTGGGTGATGTCCCACACGAAGCAGTGCCTGAGACGCCCACCTCGCTCCAGCTGGTAGCACAGATGGCCTCGGCAGCATCCTTCAGGTCACTGGGCAAGCGCACGGGTCTCCCCATCACTGTCTGGATGAAGTCCACCGTGTAGAAGAAGGCAGAGAAGGCCTGGAGGGGGGAAAGGAGGCAGCTGTGAGAGGCTGGGAGCAAACCCTCACGCGATGCTGGGAACACCCTGCTCCATGCCAGGACTTACAATGAAGTTCCCTGAAACCTCCGGCTGGAAAACGCCATCGAAGGAGCAGCGGGAGAAGGGGCAGGTGGTGAAGTCGAAGAGCTTGCTGACGTGCAGAGCGCAGAGGCTCCCGTTTCCGGTGCCGACCGCGGCCACGGTGGCATTGAGGGCAAGGTTTGGCCTCTCCTTCTCTGTGCAGGGGCTGTCGTAGACGCTGCTCAGCGACAGGTTCTTGCGGTAGCCCGTGGGCCAGCAGGGATGGGAGACGGTTGCTTGGTAGCCCTCAGCCTGATGGAGAAGCAATACAAGGAATGTGTGAGCTGTGCCATTGCATTGGCTCCCCCTGTGCACCCTGCCTGCCTCCGTTTCCCTGCAAAGGGACGCAGAGCTGGCAGCTGCCACAGGCATCTCAAGATGATTTGAGACATCTTAGCTCTGGCCAAGGAGGGCAACATCCTATGGAGAGGGTAAAACCAAAGAGTTGGCTGAGAAAGGTGAGCAGCTCGCCCTGGAGGGCTGTCCTAGAGCCAGGGCTGGGGGACACCCCATATGAACAATGGGGACCAAGTGTGGGGTGATGGCAGCCGGCATCCCCATGGTGGTACCTGGAGGAGCTTGGAGAGCAGCC